ACATGTTATCTTCTCAGCCGCGGAGTTATTAACAAAAATTAATATCCCCGGGCCCTTGCGAAGGAAGTTCGGAGGGAAAACTTACGCTGCCGTATAACTCGGGCTCGCGTGAAATTTGTTCTCCTCTGTTTTCTAAAATCGTAACTCGAAACTTTGCGGACCACCGAATAACGTGTGCAACAGTGGGAAATAAAACAAAAAAAAAAAAAAAAAAAACATCCACGAGAAAACGGAAAATACTATGAAGCCGAGAAGGAAAAAAAAAAAAGCTTCAAGGAGCACGCGTGGTTCTCTCTTTTTCCTTCGTTTCCCTCGAGCTCGCGATTCTTTTCAAATTTCACGTGCAGGTACGATCCCTATGTGCGAATGCATCCGCATAAAATCAATACTCTTGCGCGCGAAATCGAGTATCAACAGAGTTGTTGTTTCTTTTTTTTTTTTTTTTCCTTCAGGGGAATCTGATAGCACCAGCTGCAGAACCGATGATTACGCGATCCTGATATGTCTGTGTGTGCTTTTTGATAACGACGCCGGATTGAACTCGCGAGCGAGTTGGTATATATATATATATGCGCGTATGAAACGCATGTACAATTGAGTATGTTTGTGTATACGCAATAACCAAGTGGAAGGAGAAAAATTGCGCTTACCCATTGTTAAGTGTACGTATGTATGTATGCACACGAGCATGATTTTATTCTACATGTAGAGGTCGAAAAAGAAGAAAAAATAAATAAATAAAAGTACGATTGTAGAGCCGAGTGGGAGAACATTGGCTGTGTTCTCTTTTTTGTATCATGCGGTGGGCGAAATACCGTTACGCCTCACTATTTCTGGAGAAAATAAATACAAAAGCGCTTGTTTGATTTAATATTACATACACACGTGAGTGAGATTATCAAAATTACCCCGCTCATTTGTCGATTCATCGAGAAGCTCGTTTACGGGACACGTGGTGATTTTTCTCTTCCTTCCTTTGTTCCCTCCCTTTTTATTTGTTGTTCACTTATTTTTCTGGTAATTTCATGGCTGATAACATCGGTAGATCACTGGTATAGGTAAGAGTTGCGTACAACCGATAAAGCTGAAACTTCAAGGAACAATTTGTACAGTTCAAGGCACAAAAGTTGTTGGTACTTCGATGCTTTCTTCACAAGGTTTTTCTCCTATCATGCAATTTGTTGTTTTTCAAAATTAAAACTGCAAACAATTCAACGACGTTAACCCTTGTTGTGATTGTTTTCTGAAAAATATTTTCTAAATATTACAACTTCGAAAATTTTGATTTTTTGATAGATTATCAGAAATCTCTGTAAATTTTTCGTGGTTTGATGCTCACAAAAATTCTAACTAATGGATTTTATAATTAATTGTATAAAACAAACAAACAATTAATTTGATTCACGCTTGTTTGAAAAAATACGAAAGAAAAACACTAACAAACAGACAGCAAAACAAATAGTAAAGTCTAGATTCAGTGAAAACGCGCGATGCTTCTCCGTTTGGAGTTCAGACCATTTTTTATCACCTGAGACGCGAGTCCGTCATAAAAATAGTTCATTGGAACTTTTTACAGCCGCGTGTTGTCCTGTAGAAGATAAAAATTTGCACGAGCCTTACAGAAAGACTTACCTTTGGTTGTTTTCTTTTTTTTTTTTTTCTTTTTTTTTATAACTTGATTATTTTTTAGTGTGATTAAAAGATGACCTCGCCCCCTCGAGATTTTCTATCGTTTGCTGCACATGACGAATTTTTATGGCACATGTAACATTTTCCCTCACTTGTATGAATTTTTTTAAATAAAATTTTTTGAAAAAAAAAAAAAAAAAAAAAAAAAACAAATCGGAAAAGAAATTCATCACTTATAAAGAAATAGAACTGAAATAAATATTTTAAAAGATCAACAACCAATATTTTTAAAAATCTCCTCGCAAAATGATTTTTCACTTAATTCTATGATTTATACTATTTTGCAAGGTTGATAAGAAAAAATTAGTTCTACCATTTCAACAGATACTTTTCTTTTCTTAAATAATCTGGCATAACAAGTAGGCGGTTCACTTTATAAATATATACGCTCGAATAATCAAGTCGGAGTAAGTAGTTCGTATATCCCGCGGTGCGAATTTCCGATGCAATATCCTTTAATTTTGCAGTGCGAAGCAGAAAATGAAGAAGATAAAAGGCTGTCTTATATACATAGGTAGTAGGTACAGCCCAACCTCTCTCTCTTTTGATGCGCTATGTAGCTCCAGCTGAGCATTTGATTAGCGCACAGCTTGAAAAATTCGCGCCCAAGTGCATCGCACTACGTACCTACACCCCGAGGACATTGCTTTTATTTTTACCTGAAAACTCAATTTTCTCTGTTCGTTGTCTTTGAAATAATATGTTTTTTTTTTTTTTGTTGGTAAGATAAAAAATGAAAAACGCCTCGTAGGAAAAGAACGAATAAATGGTAAAATAAGTATGAATACATTGCACCATCGACGTATATAAGATATTCAACTTAAATTTAATTCTGATTTATTACCTGCTCGTACAAAGTACAGCTTATTGTGAAAATAACAAAGACAACCATGTGATGGCAGTAATTTGTCATAATTAAGAGGGCGGCATTACACAATTCCTTTTTGACGATCAACAAAATTAAACATTGCAACGAAACAAGCATCAATTCACTCTGTCGTTACTTACGTCCATTATTATCTGATCCTTGATTTGGACGTGTACGCTCGATATACGTGGAAGAGAAAAATTACCCTAATTTGCTTCTAAGATAGAACCATGAAAAAACACGCATATTATATGGGTGATAGGTACCGCCTTATCTAAAATACGTCGCAATGATAGTAATGATTTTTCGTATGAAAAGGCGACCAATTACGAAACACAAGTTTTTTTTTTTTTTTTTTCCTGAAACAAAATTCGACAAGACATGACGAGGGTCACTAAAATTATTTTTCGAAAAATGACCTATGATGATGATGATCAGAATGAAAATTATTTGTGGAAAACCATTTGGACATTTCAATGAAGTCTCGCCGGCAAGTGTACTAAGAAAGGTGGGAAAGCAAGGAAATCTGGGCTCAAAACTAGACCTAGGACGAATGAAGAGACGCAGACTTTGGTGCCGTGCTTTGTACAGATAAGGGAAAAACTGGTTTACATATTTAGCAGTGAAGTATAGGTGAAAGTGTGCTCGGCACGTGTGGGCAAACAGAGCTCAAAGGATTAAAGATGACGGATGGACAGACGGACGACAAAAGCCACTTCACTTTCCCTTTTTTCCTTTTGTGCCGTGCACGGGGCATACACAACGAAAGGTCGTGAATAAATTTTTTTTTTCTTTGAAGTATACATCACGTCGAGCTGACAGTTATACTTACCTGATGGGCACGTTGGATTGGAATGAATACAAAAAAAGAAGCCTCAACGGCTTTTTCAAGCGAGTATCAAGCGAATTGATGAATGACGGTTGGACCGAGATTTGGGGTCCCGTTGAAAAAAAAAAAAAAAAAAAAGTTCGAACTGTAGAACAGATTTTCCAACTAACTTGTTGGTTTTTCATCTTGATTGATAAGTAATTGAAATAGAATAGAATTCGACGGTTCGCAGTACTCCTCTAGTCCTAAAAATTGGATGGTGCAAGTAAAACCGTGGTAAACTGAGCACTATTAACATTACTTACTGGGTGGTCGAAGGATTTCTGAATTTCAAACAATCAAATAGGAAATCGTATGAAAACAGTGATAGCTATACATGTATGCATGCCGTTGAAAGGGGTGTGGAAAATTGCTTGAAAAATCCACACTGGCTTTCAAGTTGATGTGTTTGACGCGGTAGGTTCTAGGTAATCGTTATTGGAAGCTTGTCAATTATTTAATAAAATACGCTTAATTTTGATTATTTTGCTGCATTCACGTATTATGTGAAAAAACTTGGGTTGGTAACGCGGCGAACTTTTGAGTTTTCCAACGCCAATTCAGTGATTTAATTAAAAACGATTTGAATGAATCGACGCTCCATCTAGCGTTTTCATGCAACAATAAGGTATGTATCCTCGTCCGCCTTGATAATCTTTTTTTTTTTAAAAAGTAAGTATTGTTTTTATATGCCTACCAGAACATCTACTTAATTAATTAATTAATAAGCGGTAAGTAGGTACATCAACATATTGCGTTTCCATTTTCAAAATGTATAAATGCACCTTTGAAAAGAAAATGATTGTACCATTTGAGGGTACAAGTATTGTCAAAATAATATATATGTATATATGGTGACGATTGCGGAAAACACCCACACATGTACTATATGTTGGACAGTATTGGAGTTACTTAATTTCAATTATTCTGTCCATGGTATGTTGACAATTATAAGACTGCAGATATTATTTGCGAACCCCTGTTTTATAGTCCACGGTTGAGTGGAGTTAACAGTGCAAAAAAAAAAAACTTTTTCGAGACAATGAGAGTCAGAGCAAAAGGTTTCTTATTTCTTCGTAAAATTTTTGATGGGCCGCCAACGGGTCGCACAAGAGTTTTTTTATTTAACTCAAGTATTAAGTAGTACATATAATATACACGGATACGGCTGAATATAGCTATTTTTGTATCTATCGGTACTGACGGTTACCTTGAATTTTTTTATACATAAATTTCTTGAACAGCAACCATAAATAAAGGTATTTCTGCACTACAGTAAAACGGAGCAGCTTAAGTAAGACTTGCTGGCAAGCAAAATAAAATAAAATTTATTTAGAGAAATTCGCTAACTATCTAGAACTCTCTGGAACCTACAGATGTCATTGTAGGTACTCTCCAGCTCTCCTCAGCGCTCAAGTGCTAAATTTGAGCAGTTCAATCAAAACTCAAAATACACGCAAGTGTCGCTAGTGTCGCTAGTAGTCAGAGAGAGAAGAGAGAAATTCTACAACTTTCTGCACCTCTGCAGGTCACGGCAGCAGACGAACAGACGGCAGTCGCTCACTGGTCGTTCAATGTCTTGCATTGTCGAAAAGTGCATGCTCAATACAAAATTTGTACTTATTTGTCAGACCCTGTAAGTAAATAGGGATTTTTTATTTATTTGTAAGCTTACAGAATGAGCATATTTTCCGATGATACTGTCACGTTGTTTAGTGCACGTATGTGCAATATGAATATAGATTTGTGTTCAAATAGTGACTCGTCACTGATAAGTAAAACATTTTAGTCCTTGGACACTCCACGTTGTAGGTAAGTATCTTATGCTGTGGCTGTAAGTACACTGCAGTCAGTGCTTGTTCTGGCTTATTCGGTGTTTTCATTTGCGCGTTTACTGATGTGCGGTCTGCGATTTGCGTTCAAGTAAACACGTGGAAGTTTTTACTGTTACCAAACGATTATTGTTTTAACGTATAAGGAACTGGAAAAAAGGGGTTTAAAAAATTGTTAGCTCAAGAATTTTTAGGCCTCAAATAACATGAGTAATCATCAGTGCAAGGAAACACATTGCGACTGCGGCGAAAATAATAGCTGTGAGTACTTACTTTTAACTTTCAATCTATCAGGGGTGCATTTAAAAATGTTTAGATGGTTTAAGTTCTTATTTCTTTAATAATTCAGGATTTGAATGACGAAAATAATGAGGATAGAGTCACTTTTCAAATAGGGTTGTTTGTTTGTTTACATTGACTTGTGCATGCTTGAGTGAATGTTATTGTTTTGGTAAACAGCTTATTATTGCGTTTTTCAGCATACGACTGGGTATGGGACGACAAATTTCAGACTAATAAGCTCAAATTGGATGAAAAGAGCTTAGAGGTTAATTTCCATCCTATCTTCAGTAATGGCACCGCTGCAGTAAGGGGAAACAAAATCTTATCCAAGAACAGACATCACTACTGGGAAGTTGAGATGCTCACGCAAATCTATGGCACAGATGTGGTACATATAGTTTAACCTTGCAGCTACTTTAATGATGATTAGTATTTGTTGTAATTTAAACGGTTGTGCTAATAATGTCTGATATCTACAGATGGTGGGAGTTGGTACAAAGAAGACTAATCTACTTAGAGCAACAAACAGTTTTGAGTCACTGCTTGGTATGGATGGCGAGTCCTGGGGATATTCATACAGAGGTAATATACAACACGGTGGTCAAATGAAAGCTTACCAAGGTAGCTTTAATAAGGGTAATTTGGTTGGAGTACATTTAGATACGTGGAAGGGTGTTCTACAATTTTTTCTCAATCGCAAGCCACTTGGTAAGTGTATAAACACATTCATTTAATTTTTTAATAGTATGTGAAACATCATCTATTTATAAAATCATCTAACCATTTTGGGACTTTCGTATAATTATTCAAAAATTATTAAGTAACGTTTATTCTTGGCAGAAAATTAATGGCCTTTATCGCAATCCCCATTAATTACAACTAATTATGTCGTCATAGTGCTAAATTATGTACTGTTTACAGGTATTGCATTTACTGGACTAAGGGGATTCAAATTATATCCCATGGTCTGTTCCACCGCAGCAAAAAGTAAAATGAGAATCACTTATTGCTCTTCAATACCAGCTTCCTTGCAAACAGAGTGCTTAGCTGTACTTAGACCATCACACAAAGCTTATTTAAATACAGCTTTCCCAGGGCTCAAATATCTTTCAAAAAGTATTTTTGCAGATATTCTTCAGAAAAAATGTAAGTATTATTTGTACCCTATGTTTAATTAATTCAGATATTCATGTGATAATTTTTTTTTATTCCTTTTAATCAAGATGATGATAATTATGATGATTATGATGATGACGATGATGACGATGATGAAGAAAATGATGAAGATGATGAGTTCTCTAGAGAAAATTTACATTTAGAGGATTTCGATGTAACAATGAAACAGTGTCGAAAGAGAAAGAAAAGGAAGTTAATAGTTCGTCACACTTTTGAAATCTCATCTAGATAGAAAAAGTGTCGTTTTCAGTGTGCCAATTTGATCTATTAATTTATTAAATTATCAATAATTTTTTTATTCCTCGACCATTTTACAATTTTAATCAAATTAAAATATAGAAAAATAAGTATTTTAATACGAAACGAGAATTCACGGCAGTTCTTGAATGAATTAAATTAAAATGTTCAGGAAATTTATGACTACGAAATCAATAAAAAATACTTATTTGTTACTACTTATAAATATCTATGCTTATAAAGATAAAACTCTCAT